CCTCAATGCTGACCTGGCTCGCGCTTGAGCGTGTCCTGAAGGGCAAGTCAACCATTGTGGGTGCATCTGTCGGTGCCGTTGCAGGTCTGGTGGTCATCACACCCGCTGCCGGCTTCGTGACACCTGGCTGGAGCATTGCCATTGGCGCCTTGGGCGCTCCTTGGTGTTACCTCACGGTTGAGGCGGTGAACAGGATCAAGCTAGTGGATGACACTCTTGATGCATTCGGCTTGCACGGCTCTGGCGGCTTTGCCGGTGCCATCTTGACGGGCATTTTTGCAGTTGACGAAGGCCTCATCTACAGTGGTAGCTTCGTGCTGTTGGGCAAGCAGATTGCTGGTGCGCTGGCCGGCGTGGCTTTCTCCGCCGTGGGCACTGCCATCATCATGGGAGTCATGAAAATGCTGTTCAAGCTTCGAATTCCAGAAGACCAAGAGCTTGGCGGTGTTGACGAGCATACTCATGGTGAGAGCTACAGCTACCACAGTTCAACCAAGACATATGCCGCAGGTGGCCGCATGACTGAGTCGGAAGCATCAAAGGAGTCCGACACTGTCTGATGAGCTTCGAGAACATCCGCAACTGGCAACTTGCATTCACAACAGTGCTGCGATGTCAGCTATCTGTTGCATAATTTGTTGCACTGTCCAGGTGAATGGACACACACTTATGTGATGGAAGCGATAAGAGCTTCTGTTTTAGTCCGTACTGGTCGGAGACCTTGCGGAAGACACTTGCAAAGGGCCAACTGATCCGCGAACACGGTGCTAGCTGGCCATGACGAAAACATGCCATGTGGCGGGGGCCCAAGAGTCGGGCGCTTTGCGCATGCTGTTCTGAAAGCACCTGATTGATACTCTTGACAGGATAGGAGTGTTGAGGCCTGCCACTGTGCTACTTAGGTCCCCTTGACTACTAAGCCCTCGAAACCTCTGTTTTGCGGCTAGGCAGACAGCCGAGCGCATCCTCACGGAGATGATGAACGTGGATTTGAGCATGGTGCCGGCGGTGTAGGGCACTGGGGGATTTCGGCTTTCGGGCTTCTCGCAGACTTGCTTTCAAGGCTTGATGTTGAGTTATAGAGCTTCCAACATTAAACCTCCAGTTCCAAACCTTCAGCAGTTGGCCCTGGTTCTGAGGGTGCAACCCCTAAACCCTAAACCCTAAACCCTAAACGGCCCTAAACGCTAAACCTTAAACCCTAAACCCTTTGAGAGATCGGAGTATTTGGGTTGAGGGCTCCAGGCTCGGAGTATGGGGCATTTCAAGGCTCCCGAGTCTCAGGGTGAAGGCTCAGCTATGATAGAAGGTTGTACTTAGTAGATTGCTTTAAAGTCCAGAATACTATGGTATATTATAGTATATTATAGTCTATTTTAGTATTATGGTATATGAGTGTATATCATAGTGTGAAGAGACTGCAATACATGTGACCAAGCACCTTACTCCGGAATCCTGCGAAGCGGCGATGGTGGTTCTGGTAACGTGGTGATGGCGATCAGATCACGGTGATGATGATGACGATGATGATACTGATGATGGCACTCTTTGCCACAGGTGCCCATTTTATCTTGGGAATATGGGAATATGGCTGCACTCAGGCCTTTTGTTGTTTCTACTGCCGGTGCTACGCAATTTGGACCAGCTCTGACCCTAATCTCTAAACCCTAAACCCCTCATCCACTCATCCGGCGCAGATCAGCTTCGACTTCTCCGCCGTAGAGCGCCAGGAGGCATCCCTAAACCCTAAACCCTAAATCCTAAACCCTAAACCGTGTTTAGGGGATTTTGAGGGCGTAGACTCGGATTCCAAGAGGCTCCTGCCTCGGCTTCCTGTTCAGGGTTTAGGGTTTAGGCTTGGGATTCCGGGTTTAGGGTTCAGGGCTTAGGGTGAAGTGTTTAGGTCTGGGATTCAGGGTTGAGGGTTGAGGGTTGAGGGTTTAGGGTATACCCTTCTTGAGTCACTCACGCAATGCTGGTCCTACTCGCGACCATCGCAAGATGCTACGCATGAACATAGAGTTCAGAGGTCCTCTCCGCAGTAGCAGGCCATCCAGAATTCCCTGCATCAATCGTTTCTGTTTTGCATCGGTCCATGTGTCCTGCGTCTCTCAGATGTGAACAACAAGGAAGAAGGCCGAGACAGTTACAGGGCATGTGTAGACACACACACCCACAAACATAATCACACATGCTTGATTACAAAGCAATTTGCATGTGCTTGTTCGTCTGCACGTGGGTATGTATGGTTGCATGTATGCCCACATGCATGTATGCATGCAAGTGACATTATATTCATCGGTGGATATGCGTTGCCAAAACGCAGATACTCTGTAGTGTGCCACATTCCCGCAGTCTTGATTTCTTCATTTTTTCTGGGACTCGGGAGATTGGCTGTAGCTATGCAGAGAGAGCGAGAGAGACAGATGCGTGTGAAGATACATAATTACATACATATGTGCAGAAGCATATGGCATATGTCCGAAGCACATCCACCGATGAGCCGAACTCACCATGCTCATGCGCAGCTCTAAAATAGGGTAGTAGAAGGCGTAAACCCAAGCCTCCAGACACCAGGCCCTGAACTCTCAGCTCATACAGCTCGCGCATGCGGTTGACTTGTACCAAAGTGAGAAGTCGCCAAGCCGCCCGAAAGCTCTGCTAGAGGAAGAAATCGACTCTCCGTCGTTCCCGGCACCAGTCTCAGTCGCGGCTTTCGGGCAGCTGGGGATGTAGTTGCTTTGTAGCAAATGCCGATTTCGAACATCCGGTCCTACGAGTTGATTTCTCAGATGAGCCGGTGCGGTTTTCGTGACTTGAGATGAGTGCAAAGCTTGAGCTGCTGTTTCCGAGGTGCCGTTTAAATCAGGATTCGGAATCTGCTTTAGGAGCTTGTGGTTTGGAGATCTTGGCCTTTCAAGACCCCCACCAGGCTAACCGTTGTCCCACTGCCAGGGCGTGACGACCGTGTACCGCAAGGAACTGGTAGAGTGCAAGGTGACGACGCCTGACAAGGCCTGCCGAGAGTACTCAGCCCTGAAAAAAGCAAACCCCAAACCCTAAAAACTAAAACCCTAAACTCCTAAGCCCGAAGAGCCCGTGACCCCCCTCAAAGCCACGAAGCCCTGAACTCCATTCCTGTCTGCCTCTATGCTTGACGTCAACTGACCTCAACTTTCCAGAAAGCCCACATGTCTCTTCTGAATACGATTTAGGGGATACTGTACCTCAATCATTATGGGGAATAAGGGGCTGTTTGGGTTTCTCTGATGCTTTACAGCGACACAAAATCCGAGCCTTTCAAAGTAAGTCCGCACCTCAACTCCTTCATCCCACGATCTAGCTCCCAAACCCTGATCCCAAACCCTGAACCCTAAACCCTGAACCCTACAATCGCAGTCCCGAACCCCGAAATCCTCAAGCTGGCTCCAAAATTCTTTTTTTGTTCCAGAGATCCTACTTAAGTTAGACCTGATCAAGACACCCCTTTGCTTCAAGTGCCCTAACATTAGGATTCCCTATGTAGTCGAAGCCCAAAAACCTTAATTTTAGCCCCCAGCCCCGAGAACACCCAAACCATTCCAAACCCAAAACTCTTAAGTCATACAGTGAAAGTTCGCGAACAGGATCTGCCACGACACCGAAAACCCTAAACTCTGCACCCTAGCCCCAACTCGCCCCATCGCTCCCAAAACCTGAAACCCTGACCCTAAACCCTAAACCCTAAACCCTAAACCCTAAACCCTAAACCCTAAACCGCTGAACCCCGAGGCCCGGCCCGCAATTTCAGGAACCCCCAAGCCCTCAAACCCTGGAGCCCCGCTCACCTGCCAGGCTCTGCAGGAGAAGGCCGGGTCTTCCCCACAGGTTCCAGGGGCTCCGAAGTTAGAGTTTACTGGTTTAGGGCTTAAGGGTTTTAGGGTTTAGGGTTTTTAAGGGTTTAAGGGTTTTAAGGTTTAGGGTTTAGGGTTTAGGGTTTAGGGTTTAAGGGTTTTAAGGTTTAGGGTTTAGGGTTTTTTTAGGGTTTAGAGTTTAGGGTTTAGAGAGTTTGAGAGTTTGACTGACTCTCGCTCGCTCTCTCTCGCTTTCGCTTTCGCTCTCGCCTCCTTTTATGTGTATGCACACATAATATGCATCTCTGTCTATGTTTACATGTACATATACACATACGCACCTATAGCCTATATGCATAGGTATACTTATGTCTCTCTCTCTCTCTATATATATATATATTACACACATACATATATATATATATATACATACATACATACATATATATATATATATATGTGTGTGTGTGTATGCGCACACCTATGGAAAAGCGCATGTGTATAGATAGTTCTGTAGGGTTGGACTGATGTTCTTTGTTCATTCAAGGCGTAGGTTGCAGGCTCTGTAGTACTCAGTAATTCATTGTTTTGGGGGCATCAAATTTGGGGTTCGTGGGTGGGCGCGGGGTTTGTGATTTTCGGGAGGGGTTGATACAGTATCAGCGCAGCTGCGGTGTTTTACACCCCCGACATCGCCGGACGATGTAAATCTGTTGGTAATTTCTTGCAAGAGTCTGCGCATTCGCACCTTGAGCCGGGTGTCTTTGACGCTTTCATCTTCTTCATCAGTGTTTCGTCTTCCTCATGTCCTGATGGCCTTGCTGTGGCCACGATGACAACCATGGTGATGACGGATGCTGGGAGTGTGTGCCGAGCTTGAGTTAGAATAGTTTAAAGTGTTTCATGTCACTGTATTATTCCTGCTGCAGTTCCTCCTACTAACTACTACTACTACTACTACTACTACCACCACCACCACCACCACCACCACGACCAGCAGCAGCAGCAGCACCAGCAGCAGCAGCAGCAGCAGCACCACCACCACCACCACCACGACGACGACCACCACCACCACCACTACCCCCACCAGCACCACGACCACGACGACGACGACGACGACTACTACCACTTCTACCACTACCACTACCATTACCACTACCACCACAACAGCAACAACAACAACAACAACAACAACAACAACTACTACTACAACTACTACTGCTACTACTATTACTACGACTACTACTACTACTACTACTACTACTACTACTAGTACTATTAATATTACTATTACCACTACTACTACCACTACTACTACTACTACTACTACTACTACTACTACTGCTACCAC